AGTTTTCCTACTAAAGGTCCTCTTGAAAGCATGCCCTAAACCAAGAGTTAGCGGGCGACGTTGGGAGCTTAAAGCGAAGAACGCCTGCAGCCCCAAACCCTAGACCCCCCAACCCCTCTATACCCCTAAACCCCTATACCCCTAAACCCCTAAACCCCTAAACCCTACACCCTAAACCCTAAACCCTTAAACCCCAAACCCCAAAACCCTAAACCCCTCCACCCTAAACCCCTAAACCCCGAAACCCCTAAACCCCGAAACCCCTAAACCCTAAACGGTCTAAACCCCAAAACGGTCTAACCCCAAAATGGTCTAAACCCTGAACTCTAAACCCTAAACCCTCAACCCCGAAAGCCACAGACCAGTCGGTCGGGTCTACGCCGGGCGCCTGCGTCAGCACCGCCGAGGTGACGATGCCTGAAAAGGGCGAGGGTTTAGGGTTTAGGGTTTAGGGTTTAGGGTTTAGGGTTTAGGGTTTAGGCTCTAGGCTTTAGGCTTTAGGCTTTAGGCTTTAGGCTTTAGGCTTTAGGCTTTAGGCTTTAGGCTTTAGGCTTTAGGCTTTAGGCTTTAGGCTTTAGGCTTTAGGCTTTAGGCTTTAGGCTTTAGGCTTTAGGCTTTGGTAAACCTAAACCCTAAAGGCCCCATAGAGGGTAGCATAATCCTCAGGTAGTATACCTTAAACCCGCATATGCCACTATGTAGCCAGGCCAGCGGAAAAGAATAGCCTAAAACGCTCAAAAGGCGCTCCTTCCAACCCCTAAGACCCTCAGACCAAGGCCCCAAAATGCCCTGTAAGCCCGATGAACCCTACACCTCAGCCTGAAGAAAGGCCCCTAAACTACCCGAAACCCTAAACCCTAAACCCTAAACCCTAAACCCTAAAAGCCCTAAACCCCAAACCCTAAAAGCCCTACAAGCCCCCGAAGAGTCAAACGGCAGGCCTGAGAAGGCCAACATCGCTAGCCGCCCGTTGCGCAGCTCCTTCACCTTCAGGGTTTAGGGTATTTAGGGTTTGGGTTTAGGGTTTCGGGTTTAGGGTTTAGGGTTTAGGGTTCAGGGTTTAGGGTATTTAGGGTTTGGGGTTTAGGGTTTAGGGTTGAGGGTATTTAGGGTTTGGGGTTTAGGGTTTAGGGTTTCGGGTTGAGGGTTTAGGGTTCAGGGTTCAGAGTCTCCTTCCACCCTCAGCCGGGGCCCCACAAACGTCTACCAACCCTCGGGCCCTGAACCGGAATTCAAGGCCCTAAACCACAACCCCTAAACCCTAAACCCCAAACCCTAAACCCTAAACCCTAAACCCCAAACCCTAAACCCTAAACCCTAAACATACCTGGACTGGAAAGTTTTGGGCACCCTCTTCGCCTGCATCTCGTACTGGCCCTTGGCATCCTGGGGGTAGAAGCCGCGGAGGCCGAAGTCCCCCGGCTTGCGGTCCTAAGGGTTTAGGGTTTAGGGTTTAGGGTTTCGGGTTTAGGGTTTAGGGTTTAGGGTTTAGGGTTTCGGGTTTAGGGTTTAGGGTTTCGGGTTTCGGGTTTCGGGTTTCGGGTTTAGGGTTTAGGGTTTAGGGGTTAGGGTTAGGGGTTTAGGGTTTCGGGTTTAGGGCTTAGGGTTGAGCATTCGTTGGCAGCGTGCTCCACGGGAAGATGGCGAGTACCCTGATCGTCCGTTTGACGAGGTGGCAGGTCACAAGTCGCAGGCTTTCCTCCACAGCTTCTGAAGCAGAATGGATAATCTCCTCCCCCGAATCTTTAACCCCCCGATCCGCTAAATATTGAATACCCCCCCCCCATTAGAGCTATATTATAGTACATTTGGTGGTTTTAATATTAGGGGGTAGGGGGGGGGGTTTAAAGGAATGCGTCTGCGCCTCACGGGCTTTCTCAGGGGTTTGGGGGCCGGGGGATCGAAATCAGGCCACTCCTTTGAAAACAAGGCTCTCTTTATGAAATGGACCTTCAACAGGAGCCCTCATGCAAAAGCTAATCCAGCAAAGAAAAAACTTAAAGCCCCTCTCTTTCCTGTAGATCTTGAGATGCTGAACCAATTTGCGGTCAATCGGCATCGGGCGAAATCGTCAATCAAGACCAGTGTTGAACCAAATTCTGGTCAATCGGACCAGTTTTGAACCAATTTTGTGGTCAATCGTCACCCGTGTTGAACCAACTTGTTGTCAATCGGCACCGGTGTTCAACCAATCTGTGGTCAATCGGCACCGGTGTTCGTCCAATTTGTCGTCCATAGGAACCGGTGTTGGGAGAATTCCTGTCAGGTTGAGCGGAGGGCGCCGTTTACGCCGGCGGAGCGCAAATCTTTCGAGCGAATGGCCCAAGAAGACCCCCAAAACAGGTTCCTGGGACTGGTCGCTGATCAGGACCAGTGTTGAAACAACTTGTGGTCAATCGGCACCGGTGTTCAAGCAATTTGTGGGCAATCGGCACCGGTGTTGAACCAATCTTTTGTGGGCAACCGGCACCGGTGTAGAGCGAATTCCCGTCCATCAGGACCAATGTTGAATCAATTTTCGGTCAACAGCCACCTCCTAGGCTCGAGAGAAAGAAGCGCCATTTTGTTACCGACCCCATGTTAAGAGAACAAAAACGCCATTTTTTACGGGCATGTGTTGGGCCTTGGGCTGTTTGAAGATGGGTGGGGTTTAGGCAAGACTAACGTGAGACTTGGCACGTTCTTTGGGTGGGTGGGTGCTTTTCCAACAACGTTCGCAAAGTCACTTGACATAGTGAATGCTGGGACTTGAGCTGCTGAACCCTAAGCCCTGAACCCTACGTAACGCCAAAACCCTAAACCCTAAACCCTAAACCCTAAACCCTAAACCCTAAACCCTAAACCCTAAACCCTAAACCCTAACCCGAAACCCTAAACCCTAAACCCTAAACCCTCTGAAATAAGGCCAGCTGCGGTCTTGCCCTCGCGCATGTTCACGTAGGCGAACAAGCCCAGCACCTGATCCCGTCCGGGCTTCTCTCAGGGAGCACGAGGGCATAAGGGCAGGGTTTAGGGTTTAGGGTTTAGGGTTTAGGGTTTAGGGTTTAGGGTTTTTAGGGTTTAGGGTTTAGGGTTTAGGGTTTAGGGTTTAGGGTTTAGGGTTTAGGGTTTAGGGTTTAGGGTTTAGGGTTTAGGGTTTAGGGTTTAGGGTTTAGGGTTTAGGGTTTAGGGTTTAGGGTTTAGGGTTTAGGGTTTTGGGGCATCAGGGCATGAGGTAGGGATTAGGGATTTAGAGCTTAGGGTTTTCAGGCTTTAGGAACCTTATGTGTTTAGTTTAGGAATGTTGGGGTTGATATTTATAGGAAGGGCTTGAGGGCTGTTAGGGTACCTACTGTGAGCCCTTGGCCTTTCTGTAGAGGATAAAGGCTAAAGGTATATACGGTTTGGGTTTAGTATTCAGGGTGGTGCTTGAATCTTCAGGGTACTTAGCAACCGATTATCACCACATACAAGCCCCTGAAGTAGCCGAATAGGGTTATCATTGGGTTATAAGTACAGGTGTCGTTGGGTTACTAAGTAACATGAACCTCCAGGTAGGCATGTACTATTGCGGGCCACCTACTTTAACCCCTAGTGAACAACCCTACCGCCCGTGACCCGAGGGTGATTGGTTTCGGGTCTAGGATTTGGGGGTTTGGAGTCTATAGCTCCCGCCCTCGAACGACCTGAAACCCTATGAAGCCACTCAGCAAAGAAGTCCGAATGCTCCAAACCCTAAACCCTAAAGTCTAAACCCTAAACCTTCAAACCCTAAACCCTTAACCCTGCAAAGCCCTATGGCCTGAACCCTAGCAACCTCACAAGTCCCTGGGCTTTACTCTGGCTGTCTAGGACCCAGAGTGGGCCGGGTTTAGGGTTTAGGGTTTAGGGTTTAGGGTTTAGGGTTTAGGGTTTAGGGTTTAGGGTTTAGGGTTTAGGGTTTAGGGTTTAGGGTTTAGGGTTTAGGGTTCAGCATCTCAAGTCCAAGCATTCACTAGTCAAGCAATTACTCCAGGAAAATACCCACCCGCCCAAAGAATCCCACAACATTAAGAAAATATTTTACTTATAGAACGACCTTGCCCATGCCCAGTAAAACGGCGACCTTGCCCAGTAAAACGGCGACCTTGCCCAGTAAAACGGCGACCTTGCCCCGTAAAACGGCGACCTTGCCCAGTAAAAAGGCGACCTTGCCCTGTAAAACGGCGACCTTGCCCAGTAAAATGGCGACCTTGCCAAGCAAAACGGCGACCTTGCCCAGTTCAACGGCGACCTTCGGGGTCCAAGGTCGCATTTTTGCTGGGCAGGGGCGGACGGTCGCCGTTTTACTGGGCAAGGTCGCCGTTTTACTGGGCAAGGCCGCCGTTTTACTGGGCAAGGTCGATTTTTTTGACCGAACTAACCTTGCCATGTAAAACGGCGACCTTGCCCAGTAAAACGGCGACCTTGCCCAGTAACTCTCCAACATTTAAATTATAAATGTAAGAGAGGTTTAGGGTTCAGGGTTCAGGGTTCAGGGTTCAGGGTTTAGGGTTTAGGGTTTAGGGTTTAGGGTTTAGGGTTTAGGGTTTAGGGTTTAGGGTTTAGCAACAACAATGCGCGTTGCCAGAAGTCCACAGTCGGGGTGAAGCTCCCGAGCCGTGCGGAAGGGATTTTGGCAGCGGCTCCTCGCAGCCTTTATGACAACCGAAGAACGCCCTATGCTCGACGAGCCCTCAAACCCTACACCCTAAACCCTAAACCCTAAACCCTAAACCCTAAACCCTGAACCACTGCTCTCAACCTCCCCACGCCCTCCCCCCACCGGCCTCGAGAAGCCCGCACCAGATGAGGATCCTAGGGCTTTCAGTTTCAGGAGTCTTCGGGTTTTTGAGGGTTTGGGGGTTCAGGGTTTAGGGTGTAGGGTGTAGGGTTTAGGGTTTAGGGATTAGGATCCTAGGGCTTTTAGTTTTTGAGGGTTTGGGGGTTCAGGGTTTAGGGTTCTTGCTGGATGCGCCTTGGTGTGCGCTTTAGGGTTTAGGGTTTAGGGTTTAGGGCTTAGGGCTTCGGGTTTCGGGTTTCGGGTTTCGGGTTTCGGGCTAAGAATTTCGGGAAAGGGGACCCTTAGGATCGCTGTATAATAAGGACCCCAATATGGAACCCCTAATATCGGAAACCTACATTTGGGGTTTAGGGTTCTTGCTTCATTAGGGCTTCCTCGCAGCCCCCCCCCCCCCCGAGGTAAGGGTTACCAGTTCACGGTCTGAGGGTCGGATGGAGGTCTAAATCCTACGCCCTCCCTCAACCCTACACCCTCGGGTACAAGGTCAGGATTCAAAAGTTTAGGGCTTCCTTGGTGCGGGTTTCCTAGCCGATCGTGTCTTATGCTGGTTCAGGGCCTCAATGTGCCCCATACTTGTTTGATATGATGTCGTCTTGTCTTAGTGCTCATACTATATTAATAAACATAGTATATACATTCTTAAGCCGGTGGCCATCACAAGCACGCTGGCGCAACACACTGAAAGCATTTCGTGCCCTGTCCGGGGACACAGCCGGTTCATGGCAAAGAACACAACCGCCACAACTTCACACAGCCTCGCAAAGACACTACTACAAAAGACTTCATGACGTCAGCCGGCTTGCCTAAGCCTCCGCTGCACACACCTGCCCCTGATGAGGTTCAGGGTTCTTGTAAGGGCTCCCTAAACCCCAATTAAACCCGAAACCCTAAACCCTAAACCCCAAACCCCAAACCCTAAACCCCAAACATTAAACCCTAAACCCAACCCTAAACCCAACCCTAAACCCTGAACCCCAAACCCCAAACCTCCCCCTGAGCTTTTAAAATCCGAGCGGCTGTGGCATTCCACCGAACTTGACCATGGCGTCGTGCGCCTCGGTTTGGGGTTCAGGGTTCAGGGTTCAGGGTTCAGGGTTCAGGGCTTAGGGTTCAGGGTTCAGGGTTCAGGGCTTAGGGCTTAGGGCTTAGGGCTTAGGGCTTAGGGCTTAGGGCTTAGGGCTTAGGGCTTAGGGCTTAGGGCTTAGGGCTTAGGGCTTAGGGCTTAGGGCTTAGGGTTTAGGGCTTAGGGCTCAGGGCTTAGGGTTTAGGGTTTAGGGGCATTCGACAGGCCTTACTTCAGGCTCGGAGCAATTTGGGTTTAGGGGTTTAGGGGCGTTTAGGGTTTTGGTATGGGTTAGGGGTCTAGGCGTTTAGGGGTTGATGGGTTGAGGGGTTCAGGGGTCTAGGGGTACGAGTTCAGGGGTTAGGGTGCAGGGGCGAAGGCTTCCGAAGGTCTTTTTGGGAGCTGATTCAAGGCTTACTTCTCCTATAACCAAGGAAAGAAAAAGGTTAAACTTTCCTATTCCTAAAGAAGGAAACCCAAAAAGTTTAAAGTTCAGCTGTCGGAGACGTAAGAAGGAGAGCTTAGGGGCTTGCAGCCGACCTGAAATCCTCAACCCTCAGCGCCTGCGAATGGCCAAAAACCCCAAAACGTGGCTTGAACCTCTCAGACCCTCAACCCACCAACGCCCTAAACCCCCACGCTCTAAACCCTAAACACCCCAAACAACCCAGCCCTAAGCCGATGCAAGCTATCCTTGGCTCTGAACCCTCAACCCTACACCCTAAACCCACCTAAACCCTAAACCCTAAACCCTAAACCCTTAAACCCTTGGACTTTAAGGGGGGAAGCTCAAAGAGTCAACATCTAAACCCCAAATCCCAAAAAACACCGCCCTCGGCCGCATCAAACTATTCTTAACCCCGAACGCTAAACCCTAAACCCTGTGAACCCTCTAAACCCTAAACCCTAAACCCTAAACCCTAAACCCTAACCCCAAACCCTGAACCCTAACCCTAAACCCTAAACCCTAAAGCCCCTAACGACCTGGCCTCAATAGTGGAGACCTGGAAGGCATCCCCGGGGACGCGCATGCCTTGCGTGGTGCGAAGTTGGGTTTGGGGCTCAGTGACTTAGGGCTGAGGATTTAGGATTCAGGGTCTTGGGTTTCGGGGTTTTGGGGTTTAGGGGTTGAGGGTTCTAGGGTTTAGGGTTTAGGGTTTAGGGTTTAGGGTTTCGGGTTTAGGGTTCAGGGCTTAGGGTTTAGGGTTTAGGGTTTAGGGTTTCGGGTAACATTTTTTGCAGTTTAGGGCTGAGGGGAAGCTCCAGCTCCGTGGCGAAAGTTGGAGATTCTGGTTCAAGACATCCCCTTCCCACTTCCCCCCCCTCCCTAGGTATGTATGTATGTCTGTCTGTCTGTCTCCCTCTCGCACAGCCTGAGACCCCAACGCACTAAACCCGGAAGCCTCATGACCGCTACCTGAATTATGTACCCTGAACTCTAACCTCCAAACCCTGGACCCTCAACTTCAAACCCGATGCCGTGTTTGGGCCTTTACCTTCAGACATTCCTGTAGGGCCTTGGGAGCCTAAAGATTCGGAAGTTTAGGGGGTTAGGGTTTAGTGGTAACCTCTAAACCGCAGACCCTCGTGGCCCATTGGCCCATGGTGGGTTTAATTATGGCTCTGCCCTGCTTCATGGTCTGTGGTTCATGGTGGGTTTAGGAATTAGGCTACAGCTAAAGGGGGGGGGAAAGGAAAATAGCGGGCCAAGAATGCGGAGTGCCAGCGGATAGAATCCCTGATCCCCACGCCCGAAGTCACTTTTAACAAATTCCACACACTGAACCCTAAACCAACAATGCTAAACCCTAAGCACAAAAAACACCTAAGCTCTAAGCCTGAACCCTGAGCCCTATACCCTTAACCCTAAACCCTAAACCCTCAACCCTAAACCCTAAACCCTGAGGCAGGTGTTGCAGAACTGGGCCAAGGGCCCAGGTCGGTGCTGATCCATCCGACCGTCGCAAGCATGGCCACACGGCCATGCTTCAGCTCAGCCTCGAGGGTTTAGGGTTTAGGGTTTAGGGTTTAGGGTTTAGGGTTTAGAGTTTAGGGTTTAGGGTTTAGGGTTTAGGGTTTAGGGTTTAGGGTTTAAGGTTATATACAGGGTGTAGGGTTTGGGGTTTAAAGTTTAGGGTTTAGGGTTCAGGGCTCAAGGTTCCGGGCTGTTTAGGTTTCTGTTTGAAGGCTTGTGTGCGGGATGCAGGCCCGAAATTTACAGTGCAAGGTCTAGGGCGTGAGAGACATAACCTTGGATCTGGAAAACCCCCCCCCCAAAAAAAACAAATCGTTGCTTGTTAGCCGTTAGACCCTCAGCCCTCAAAGCCTACATGCCTGACATCTCGACGGCCCTGAAGCCTAACACCCTAAGGTTAAACCCTACAACCCCGAAACCCGTCATTGAACGGGCGTCTGCAACGCGGCTGTGCATTTGCTGCGCCCTATGAAACCAAACCTTAACACACGTACAGGGTTTAGGGTGGAGGGTTACGACTCAGGGCTCAGGGTACCCATATGCACATTTCCCTAGGGGACCCCCCTTTTTTTACCCCATCATTTTGTGACCCCCACAAACGGGGACCTAATTAGCCCTAATTTTCGGATAAAGAAGCTCCTATATTGCACTGGGTCAAGGGAGTAGGGTGTAGGGTTTAGGGTTTAGGGTTTAGGGTTTAGGGTTTAGGGTTTAGGGTTAGGGTTTAGGGTTTAGGCTTCAGGCTTCCCAACCCACCCCCCATCCACCCCCCCCCCCCCCCCCAACTCCCAAGCTTGCTCAGGCGCGTTCGGGCCTCGCGAAGCCAGCCGATCTCGAAGGCCAGGGAGAAGCCCATTGGGTCGAAGCCCTCCTCCTCACCTCTTTCTTTTGGGGGTTTAGGGTTTCAGGTTTCGGGTTTAGGGTTGGGGTTTAGGGTTTAGGGTTTAGGGTTTAGGGTTTAGGGTTAAGGGTTTAGGGTTTAGGGTTTAGGGTTTAGGGCTTAGGGTTAGGGAGAAGCCCATGGGGTCTAGGGGGGCTTTAGGGGGAATTTAGGGGTTAGGGGGCACTAGTGAGGGGTTGGGGCGCGTAGATGAACCCTGAACACCACAATCCCCAGCCCACCCTAAACCCTAAACCTCCGAACTCCAACCCTAAACCATACTTAGGTCCCCTAAACCCTAAACCCTAAACCCTAAACCCTAAACCCTAAACCCTAAACCCTAAACCCTAAACCCTGAACCCTGAACCCTGAACCCTGGTTAGGTTAGGGGTTCAGACATGTTAGGGCTCAGGGTATACAGCCTGGGGCTTTGTGGGCATTGATCCTAAACCCCACCCTCACCCCGCACCCCCACTGCAAAAAAGAATACTACTAATATATATATATATATATACATATTATATATATACTAACAATAATTGGGGAGCAGTTTTAACGATTCCTAAGGCAACATACGAGGGCCATATTAGGAGTTCATTCAGGGAAACCTTTAGGGGTACAACCTCAGGGGTACAACCTCAGGGGTACGAATCTTCACCCCTTGAATATGGGGCTTAAGATGCCCTCACCCTAAACACTAAACCCTAAACCCTAAACCCTAAACCCTAAACCCTAAACCCTAAACCATGCCCCGCCTGGGATGCCCTCCAGGGCAGGGGACATGGGCAGGAAGGGCACCTCGGCGCAAGACGAGCACGAACCCTAAACCCTGCACCCTACATCCTGAACCCTAAACCCTAAATCCTAAGCCCTAAACCCTAAACCCTGAATCCTGAACCCTAAACCCTAAATCCTAAACCCTAAACCCTAAATCCTGAGCCTTGAACCCTTTTCATCAGCCGGTGCATCATACCGATGTCGGTGGGATGGGGGGGGTGGGCGGTAGGAGTGGGCCGCTTCGGCAAGTCAGGGCCTACCTGCTAGGGTTTAGGGTTTAGGGTTCAGGGTTCAGGGTTCAGGGTTCAGGGTTCAGGGTTTAGGGTTTAGGGTTTAGGGTTTAGGGTTTAGGGTTTAGGGTGGAGGGTGGAGGGTTTAGGGTTAGGGGCTTAGGGCTTAGAGGGGTTGAGAGGTCCCTGCGCCCCCAAAACCCCGAAACTTCGAAAGTGGCAGGCCCTGGCACCGCCGCGCTCATCTTGTAGCCCGCCTGCCTGGGGTAGGGCTTTAGGGTTTGGGGGTTTAGGGTTTGGGGTTTAGGGTTAAGGGTTAAGGGTTTTGGGTTTAGGGTTTAGGGCTTAGGAAAAGTGCGGTGCAGGGGGGTCAACCAGGTCTTAGGGTGGGTATTACAGGGGTGTTAGTGGGGTCTTAAAGGGTTCAGAGGGCTGATAAACTCGGCGGTGCAGGCGAGCTCGCCGAAGGGTTTAGGGTTCAGGGCTCAGGGTTTAGGGTTTTGGGCTTCAGGTTTGAGGAGGCTCACTTCATCCACCACAGCATCCAACCATTCTTCGAAGCTTGCTGGACCTTGACCAGCTTGTAGGTAACTTCCAAGTACCGCACTACCCTGCCACTGGTCGAAGCTGTCGTCCTTGGATGACTTGAAAGTTACAGACCTGGGCTGTCCGCGCTCCAGCCATTCTCTCCAGGAGCGGTGCCAGCGCGCGTCCCGGACTTGCGGCGCTTCGACAACGATCGCGTCTATGAGCCTGGCGAATTTGACCCAAGCACCTCCACGCCAGGGTCCTCAGCTAAAGCGGGAAAGGACCATGCATGCAGGGGGCTGCAGGCAGCGATATTCGGCCCTGGATCCTAGACCCTAAACCCAAACCCCGGGCCCTAAACCCTAGACTCGAAACCCGAAACCCTAAACCCCAACCCCTAAGCCCGAAACATAGAACTTGAGAACTCTGAAGGAGAGAACCTCTAGCCTTTTTGGGGGGTTTTATTCAGGTTTGCCCCAGGAACATGGCGCAGAATATGCCGAGAGCGTTGACAGTTGACAGCGTTTGAGGCTTTAGGGCTTCAGGGCTTCAAGGCTTCAGGGCTTCAGGGCTTCAGGGCTTAGGGTCTAGGGCCTGGGGCCTAGGGCCTAGGGCCTAGGGCCTAGGGCCTAGGGCCTAGAGCTTAGGGCTCAGGGCTTAGGGCTTAGGGCTTAGGCTTTAGGATTTTAGGGTTTAATTATGGGTTGGGTTCAGGGTTTAGGGTTCCTGGACCCGAAGACCCTGAGACCCCAAGACCCCGGATGCCCACCGGAATGGCCTGGCAACTGCCGTGCGCTGGGTCGGCCTGGTGGGTTTAGGGTTTAGGGTTTAGGGTTTAGGGTTTAGGGTTTAGGGTTTAGGGTTTAGGGTTTAGGGTTTAGGGTTTACGGTTTAGGGTTTAGGGTTTAGGGTTTAGGGTTGAGGGTTTAGGGTTTAGGGTTTAGGGTTTGAAGCCCCCATACAAAAGGTTCTCTGAAGCCCTAAACCCAGAAGGCGTGCAGGGGTTGAGGGTTAGGGTCTAGGGCTTAGGTTTTAGGGTTTTTAGTTCTGGGTTTGGGGCTTCTTGAACCCTAGGAGGCCTTGCAAAGATGATAACCTAGACCCAGAAGTATCCTAGGAATAAAACGGGCGCCCTTCTTTGCTTAAACTCAAGGTACCTTGTAGCCATACATCCCTGGGCCTGGAACTGCTGGCAAAATGGGGGCCGGCTTAGAACTCCGAAGGGTGTTTAGGGTTTAGGGTTTAGGGTTTAGGGTTTAGGGTTTAGGGGTTGGGGTTTAGGGCTCTTAGGGTTTAGGGTTTAGGGCTCAAAAAGATGAAGCCCAAACCATCAAGCCCCAAACCTAAAAACCTCTCAACCTCTAAGCCCTACAAAAAAGCTCAGCCCTCGACACTACACGTCAAACACCCAAACCCCAACAACACCCTGAAGCCTAAATTACTAAAGCAATAAACCCTGAACTCCCTAACCCCTAAACCCCTGCGCCCCTAAACCCTAAACGCTCAACCCTAAGCCCTAAACCCTCAACCCCAAACCCCAAGCCCTAAAGCCCGAAACCCCGAAACCCTAAACCCTGAACCCGAAACCCAACCCACTTCATTAGCCCGCGTGCCCTAAACCCTAAACCCTAAACCCTAACCCTAAACCCTAAACCCTAAACCCTAAACCCTAAACCCTAAACCCTAAACCCTAAACCCTAAACCCTACGCCTGCGGCCGGCCAGGGACCCATGGGCGGGAGCCACCGAGGCTCCGCTCAGACCGGTGGACTCCTAAGGGATTCAGGGGGTTTGGGGTTTAGGGTTTAGGGTTTAGGGTTTAGGGTTTAGGGTTTAGGGTTTAGGATTTAGGGTTTAGGGTTTAGGGTTTAGGGTTTAGGGTTTAGGGTTTACGGTTTAGGGTTTAGGGTTTAAAGTCTAGAGGGTCACTGTTCTAGCATTCATGGTCATTAGGGGGTTCCAGGCTTAGCAAAAAACCCGCCCATAACATTGAGAAAATAAAAGGTTTTCATCCTACCCCAGAGAGCTTTACCTACCCAATTCGTGGGAATTTTGACCCGAAAAACTCCGCAACAAAGTGGCGTTTGGTGGCCCAGAAACCAAAAACAGCTGCAAGTCAAATACAATTTGTTTAACTTGCAGGCTGTTTTTGGTTTCGGGGCCACCAAAATACATATTGGGGCACTGGTCCAGATTGACCGAAAAGTCACCAACACTGGTCCAGATTGACCGAAAAGTCACGAACATTGGGGTCAGATTGACCGAAAAGTCACGAACAATGGGGGGGCAATTGACCGAAAAGTCACCAACACTGGTCCAGATTGATCGAAAGTCACCAACTCTGGTCCAGATTGACCGAAAAGTCACGAACATTGGGGTCAGATTGACCGAAAAGTCACGAACATTGGGGTCAGATTGACCGAAAAGTCACGAACAATGGGGGGCAATTGACCGAAAAGTCACCAACAATGGGGTCGAATTGACCGAAAAGTCACGAACATTGGGGGGGGCAGATTGACCGAAAAGTCACGAAGGTTTAAATATATATATATATATATGTGTGATAGTCAGGGTTTAGGGTTAAGGGTTTAGGGTTTAGGGTTCAGGGTTCAGGGTTCAGGGTTCAGGGTTCAGGGTTCAGGGTTCAGGGTTCAGGGTTTAGGGTTTAGGGTTTAGGGTTTACGGTCGGGTTTAGGGGTTTAGGGATTTAGGGATTCAAGGTTTAGGGCGTTGAAGGGATTTAGGGCCTTCGGGTTGGGGGAATTAAGGGTATAAGGGATTTGCGGATTTAGGGATTTGAGGGTGTCGGGTTGAGGGACTTAGGGTTCAGGACCTTGGGGTTTAGGATTTTGGGGTTTGGGGATTTCGGTGTTTAGGGCTTTAGGGGAATTTGAGGGGATTTAGGTGTTTAGGTTTAAGGGGTGGAAGGGTTGAGGGTGACTGAGAGGGACTTGGACAGCTCGGCCAAACCCTAGGACCCGCGCTCTGAGATTGTTCTCTTGTTCTTGAAGGGATTTGAGGTTTAGGGGTTTAGGGCTTAGGGTTTTTAGGGTTTAAGGCGTGGGCCCCAAACCCTAACACTCTGATCGCTAAGGAGAGGCTGCAATCGCTAGAACCCCAACCCCAAACCCCCAAACCCTAAACTTCAATTTGTTGGCTACAGGCAAGGAACCTTCACCGAAGATAAAGAGAGAGAGAGAGAGAGAAACACAAAAACAATAAACAAAAACAAACATGAATGTATGCAGCCAAAACCCTAACCCTAAACCCTAAACCCCAAACCCCAAACCCTAAACCCTAATCCCCAGGCATCTGCAAAAATGTCAATTGAAACCCTCAAGGCCCTCCGCACTGTGGCGCGCGTGCGTCCTTCTGGGCATAGAGCCATGGGAAGCCGTTGCCCGTCAGTGTTGCCTTCCGAGTTTGGGGTTTGGGGGTTTAGGGTTGAGGGTTGAGGGTTGAGGGTTGAGGGTTGAGGGTTGAGGGTTGAGGGTTGAGGGTTGAGGGTTGAGGGTTGAGGGTTGAGGGTTGAGGGTTTAGGGTTTACGGTTTAGGGTTTAGGGTTTAGGGTTTAGGGTTTAGGGTTTAGGGTTTAGGGTTTAGGGTTTAGGGTTTAGGGTTTAGGGTTTAGGGTTTAGGGTTTAGGGTTTGGGAGGGTGCCAGGCCTGGGTGATGGCGCCTCCAAAGGCAAGCATGGCCAGGCGGCCGTTCTTCAGCTCCTTGAGCTTCATCTCCTGCACACGCAAGGTGGGTCTAGGGTCTAGGGTTTAGGGTTTAGGGTTTGGGGTTTAGGGTTTAGGGTTTCGGGTTTGGGGTTTGGGGTTTGGGGTTTGGGGTTTGGGGTCCGCCGACCCTGGCGGCGTGTTGGATGGGTTTCTGGGGGTGAAAACCTCCTTCTTTCCCTCCTTACCCCCGGGGGTACCCCGGCAGCTTTTCCGTGGAGGAACAGGCCACCCACACCGCGTAAACTCATGGACCATAGGCGGTTTCGCACAGCCCCACCCCCCCCCCACCCCCCCCTACCCTCCCCCCCCCCCCCCCCCCGCTCCCATTGCGAACCAGACAGCTTCTCGCCAGGCTGGCCCCACCCCCCCCCCCAACCCCCCACCCAGACCCGAACCGCAAACCCAATCCACCAAGCCCCAAACCTTAAACTTGTTCTCCTGCGGGGTCGGCGGCTTGAGCCGGAGGAGTTGGGGTTTAGGGTTTGGGAGGTCCTTCTCCTGAGGGAGAAGGGGTACCCACCTCCCGGCATGGGATCGGAAGTTTATGGGTTTGGGGAGTTCATCGTTCTTCTGCTCTTTATGCATGGGGTTAGGGTTTAAGCCTTCGTTTGAGCGGGCCGGGGGGCAGGGCGGTAAGGCTTGGACCCTGGGTGGTGTTACAGAGCACGGTCCTACTCAAAGAACAGGCCCAAACAAATCGACGTTAAGGGGTCACTTGGGCCTTTATGTTGGGGTTCGGGTGAAGCCATGTGCGTTTCGAGCTGAAGGGGGGGGTGAACTCGAAAGCGACTTTTTAAGCTGCAACTGCCGAAAAAGCTCTCAGCCTCGTCTGCTTTTGCAGAAGGCCGAGCTCTTCTGGGCTAAACAAGCGAGCCTCTCGGCAGGTGGTCCCCAAAGAGCCCCGAATCTTCGCAGCCCAGGAAGACACGCTGCAGCGCATTGTTGAAGGAAGAACCGGAGCAGCCCACATTAGAGCTTGGTCGAAAATGTAAGACAGAGAGAGAGAGAGAGACAGAGTCAGA